TAATCTAAAAGGAGTCGGCAGCCTGGCCAGAGCTGACGACTAAAGATATTAGCGATGATCAATAAGCAGTTTATTCTTTCAAAATGACCCGAAGGACGAATTGGGAGCGAAAAAGGAAAACACGAAGCTACTTTTTAAGCAATAGCGCGGTTTTATTGCTTATTCTGGACTATAGAGGAAACGGGAGAAGAAAAGGAGAGAGAAAAAAATGAGTTTTCTGATCACCAAAGCAGCAAGGCGTCCCCGCTGTTATGATTTGACGGTTCTCCGTTTTCTCCGCAGTTTTCAGCGTCATCCGTCGGTTTAATGCTTTCTCCGTTGTTTGGCTCCACGAGTGTTTCTCCACGGAGCGTCTCTGAGAGCTGAATGGAGCTCCGCTCGTTCCCAGTCAGGTCCCGATGGAGTTGAGTGTAGTTTCCAGCGGTTGCGTGGCTCAACTTGGCACTTAGAGCTTCCGCGTGCTCAAGTTGACGGAGCGTTGACAAGCGTGTCCTTACCGCCAGGTATCCTGGGCAAAAGAACGAGGATTCTTTGTCTCTGCTGAAGATTTATGGTCTTAGTTCGCGGGAAAAGCTCCACGGCTTCCCGCACATGCGCAGAACGTGTTTCTGGTACTAGGCGGTGACGTCATCACAATGCTTCCGTGTGCAAAGCATCATGGGAAATGAAGTTTCTTGGCGCTGATGTGATTATTTGCTTTTCAGAGCAATTTAAGCACAGTCATTTTGGAGAAAATCACTGCATAGTAATTTCCTCATGAGGTCAGACCCTCAACAGCGTGCCTCAGTGGTCTGTCTGCTCACTAGTGTGGAGGCATTAATGGTCTCTCTGTGTGTGTGTGTGTGTGTGTGTGTGTGTGTGTGTGTGTGTGTGTGTGCGTGCGCAGGGTATCCGCGGGTCCTTAAAAAGTCTTAAATTAGCTTTTCCAAATTTAAGGTCCTAAAAATCCTTAAAAATTACAAATAATCCTTAAATACAGTTTCCAAAGGTCTTAAATGACCAAAGACCCAATAAACAAGATTCTTTTATTTCTATAACATTTTCGTGAATTTCTAGTTGGTGTTCAGCATTTTTTGTGTACGATGTTGGCGTAAGCGGAACCGTACACATTCAGTTGGTTGTGAAAGGGGGCTATTTTAAATGAGCACATTAGCTGGTTAAGCTAGTGGGAGCTTGCGCCATGGGGAAGTGTAAGTTTAATGGTAACTGGATGGTTAATCCCACGTTTGCGACGTGGTTAGCACCGGTTCCAGGCAATAGCTGGAAATTATAGCTTAAATTTAATTTTATAAATAGCTTAAATTTGGTCAAAGTGATCTTAAAAAAGGTCTTAAAAAGTCTTAAATTTGGCTCCCTTAAACCTGCAGATACCCTGTGTGTGTGTGTGTGTGTGTGTGTGTGTGTGTGTGTGTGTGTGTGTGTGTGTGTGTGTGTGTGTGTGTGTGTGTGTGTGTGTGTGTGTGCGTGTGTGTGCGTGTGCGTGCGTGTGTGTGTGTGCGTGGTGAGAGAGGGAGATGTTGTATGGTGGCAGTGATTATTTGTAAAGTGCTGTTTAATTAAATCCTTTGATAGTGTCAAAGTTTGTGTTTCCATGGAGACGAGAGGTTGTGTCATCTGGAACCCCTCCAGCTTTTATCCCACTATTAATCACAGCAGCAAGTTGTTTTCTTCCTTGTGTGGAAGTGTGTGCGTGTGGTGTCACAAGCAATTCCTTCCACAGCTCCTCGGGGTAAACAAGAATCAAAGGGCAACTCCACCTTAATGGACATTTATTTATTTATTTTTCTGAATCGTTTTGTAAACATGTCACGTCAAGTGGAAGGTTTGTGTAGCTGTTTTCTCATTTTGGCACCCGAAGACATTTTATTACCCTGCTGGTATTTAGTTCTGTGTCACAGCTTAGGCGTTTAAAGTGAATAACACAAATATAAACTTGTCGGAGGTGTGAGAGGGGAAATGGCAAGAAAAATGACAGAACACCAGGGTTTTGCAATAAACTGAATTTGTATTAAAATTTAGATTTCAGCCGTAAATGATCAGGTGTAATTAGAGAAAATAACGGTGCCTGAAGGTTAAACTCAAACGTGTCTTTCTCACTTTTGACCTTTCTTTTCTGACCCCTAAACTGTGGAAGTCGGCTGTATTTTTCCAAATGTGGAACTGTGTGACGGGTGGTGGCCGACGGCGGGGACCTTGGCGGTCTGATCCTCGGCTACAGAAGCTGGCTCTCGGTGTGGGATATTAACTCTGGTGGGGAAGGAGCATGAGTTGGTGTGCGACGTTGAGACGTTCAGACTAGATATAGTCTGAGTCACCTCGATGCATTGCTCTAGCTCCGGAACCAGTTTCCTTGAGAGGGGCTGGACACTCTACCACTCTAGAGTTGCTCCCACTGAGAGGCGTCAAGCAGGGATGGGCATATAGTTGCCCACCATCTTGGTGCCTGTACGTTGGGGTGTTGGTGCTGCGTCTGCAGTGATACGGGCGTTGTACAAATCTGTCGGGGTGAAGAGGGAGCTGAGCCGGAAGGCAAAGCTCTCGATTTACTGGTCGATCTACATTTCTACCCTCATCTATGGTCATGAGCTTTGGGTAGGGACCAAAAGAATGAGACTGTGGATACAAGCTGCTGAAATGAGTTTTCTCCGCCGGGTGGCTGGGCTCTCCCTTAGAGATTGGATGAGAAGCTCGGTCATTTGGGAGGGGCTCAGTAGATCTGCTGCACCTCCTCTTCGAGAGGAGCCAGTTGATGTGGCTGGTCACGGCACCTCCTGGTGAGGTTTTCCGGGCACGTCCAACTGGGACAAGACCTAAAGGATGACCCAGGACACGCTGGAGATACTATGACTCCCGGCTGGCCAGGGAACGCCTTAGGATTCTCCCAGAGGAGCTGGCCAAAGGTAGCTGGGGAAAGCGAAGTCTGGGTCTCCCTGATTAAGCCACTGCTCCCGCAACCTGACTTCCGATAAGCGGCTGAATATGGATGGATGGATGGATGGATGGACATTTAAAAATCGTTTCCACTCACTTTATCATTTATCATTTCTTCCTGGCACTCGAGGAGTACAGACGCTTCTCTCTTTCGCTCCCTTATCTTTTTTTCCCCAAGGCTCTTTGTCCTGTCTGCCCACAGAGCGCTACTCTGCATTTCTTCTGAAAAACCCTATTTTTTAACTATGGATTTGATAAATTGGTCATTCAACGCGATTGATAAGATTTTTTTCAACAATGAGAACGGAGCAGGGGGCTCCCACATGCCCACAGGGGACACACCTGGCGGGGTATATGCTGGATTCCTGGAGGGAATGGAAGATAATATGCCTCTCCCAGCTATAGAAGACGTGTGGATATTCGGTCTGATGATCACTGGATTTCTCCTGATCGGAGTGGGAGGATATCTGGTTTTCTGGAAATTTGGGAAGACGGGAGCAATTGGAGGGTGACCCGCACCCACGGAAAGCCCCGTCCGTGTGGAGACTTCTCAGACTGGGATGTTACTCGAGGTGAATCGTAAGCTGGACAATGCTCTAGCTGCGATACCGGTATTAGTGCGCAAAAGGGATGTCATCTCGGAGAGGATCACCGGACGGTATGGATAAGTTTTAAAACCCAAAATTGGCTTCACTGAAGGACGGGAAATGATCAGTTTAAAGACTGAAGGCAGAGAGGAAAATTATCTCAGCCTGACCCAAACAAATTCTTGTTATCCGAATCTGACGCCCGAGCAGCCTTGAGAGGCTAGCGACAAACCCCCATGAAGGAATGCAGACAGATGCTGTGAAAACCCGACCTCCTTCAGATTGGTGGACTTCAGCCTGGTGAGGTCATCAACCTGCAGGAGTCAATGTGCTCTGCGCTTCACCCAAGATCTCCCTCCCACCTGTGACTGTACAGTAGATGAGCGCCGTAGATGGCTGCTCTTGCTGGGGGAAACAGGATCCCAGCTCCCCCTGCCTTCCTATTGGAGTCTCATGTTGTGTTGTCTGAAGTCTGTTGCATATCTGTGAGGTGTTTTTTTGCAGCGCAAAGCTGCCCTCCTTGTGGGAGGGTAGCTGTGAAGTGCCTTTTTTTCCCTCCTCCCGATTCAATTCCTCGTGTTACCCTCTTATCTCTATTAAGGTAGCGTGACTCATGTTGCGAATGACCGCAGTCACCAATTCTTGTCATGTGTCTTGCCCATGTATGTCTGATCTCTGAATTGTGTGTACTGAAACTTGTCATGTTCCTGGGAAGGTGTTTAACCCACGACATGAAGAACCCTCACAGGACAAAGGCAGAAAGTTCATTCAATGATTTATTAAACCTAACTAAAAGTGTCCTGGAGATATCCAAGTGCGAAGTAGTCGGCAAGAGTCCAAAAGCCAGCAGGGAGGGCAGACGGTGTGACGGGGTGCGTCCAGGAGAGGGAGCCAGATGATAGCGGCAGAGGGCAAGTGGAGAAGGAGGAGAGGTGAACCTTGAGTGTGTAATCCAGGCGGGTTATGGTGACTTCCAGGTAGGTACATCCATCAGTGGTTCAGCGATTCCAAGTATCCTGAAGATGAAACAAACTTGAGTCCAAACACCAAAATCCAAGCACAAAAAAAAAAACCAGATAAATCCAAAACTGCGACAGCACGAATGTCTGAGCATAGACCAAGCAAAACCTAGAACTGAGTGGCAAGATTCTACCGTGAGTAGTTAATCATCCAGCCATGTGAAGTGGTTCCCTCTCCTCTTAAATAGAGCTCTGCTGCGGTTGATTAGAGGATCTGCAGCTGCCGCTGATCGGTAATGCCCCGCAGCTGGTGAGTGCCCTCTCCTGGAATGACAGTCTTACAAAGATGTTGTGGAGAAGAGGGAGTACTCACCCCGTCACACAACAAAACTCTAATTTCCCTCTGGGATTAATAAAGTATCTTTGATTTGATTTAGGATTTAAACTAGAACATATCTGAGGGGATGCATTTGATGTGTAAAACCCCGTTCTAACCTGCTGTTTTGTCTCTTGCTCCGCTCAGGATATCACCACAGCCTCCCGTCTTCTCCCTACTCCTCCATGACTGGACCAGATGGTCAGAGGTTACCTCCATCAGGACACCTGTCCACCGAGTACCTGAACCAGAACGGCTCCTCCAAGATTCTCCTCCTCATGTGCAACACGGCCGGGTCGGGCCAGCAGGCAGTCAGGTGAGCTGCAAACCTGTTGGCAATTTCACATGAGATCCATGTTTGTGAAACAGCAGCTGAAGTTTAGTCACCACTTGCCTACTTGGCTGTTTTTAGAGCTCACCAGAGTTCTCCTGCACCCAGAGCTTTTCTCAGTATAAAATGTTAAATGAGGCACAGTAGATCGTTGGACAACATCTGAGAACAAACTCTACCAGGTGGCAGGAGGAGTTCACCTGCCCTCATAGAATCTTCAGCCTGAGCTTGGTTTATGCTTGACGCATTCACTTTCCGCGAGGTGATGCGGCTCACGGATGGAACGCACTTCACAACTCTCAGCGTTTATGGTTTGTGCGGCTCGTCTCTGCGGTGAGCCAATATTCTCCCAAACTGTAGGGGGCAGCATGGAGCTCTACGGCATGCATCCAACACTACACCATAGTAGAAGTAGAAATTACTGTTGTTTACAACATGGCATTTCAGCATTTTTAACAGCATTCTCGTCTTTTCTGACAATGCGAGCTATTTCTCTCCAAGAATTATTAACAACATGTTGATCACGGTGATCTTTGAGAGCTGAATCATACAAATGTCTGTATTTACGAACCTCTGCCATACTAGTTCTTGCCGGTCCGCCATGTTTTTCCGCGTCCGTCCGTCCGTGTGGTTAGAAATTTTCCGAGGTGCGCGTTGCGGAAATTCTGGGCCGTGCGGAGGCGCGGTGGAGGGGCGTGGTTGTTAAAATGACGCAAAATGACGCAACTTTTCCGCGCGGAGCCGTGCGGACCTCGCGGACGCGTCAAGCATAAACCAACCAACCCTAAGGGTTGGTTGGTTTATGCTTGACGCGTCCGCACTGAGAAAGATCCTTGAAAGAAAAGAAAACACATTTGGAAATAAAGGATTTCTTGATCCTTAAGATTTGTGTCATTGTGGTTGAACGGCTGACTTCTCAAACCTCTAACTTTAGAGGAAGTCTTTGGCCAAACTTAAGCTATTTTAGATTCTCTAAATAAAGTCCAAACCATTTTATTTTATAGGTTTTATGTCTATTTAGTTCTGTCCTTGTACCTTGGACGACAGTCCTTGGGCAAAACACTTCACCCCCCCCCCCATGGGTTCTGATGGTGGTCAGAGGGACCAGTGGTGCTGATTAGGTGTCAGTCTCGTCTCTTTCAGTGTACCCCAGCAGAGCTACATTGTAGCGCATCACCACCAGCTTGTGAATGGATGAGGGACTGTAGTGTGAAGTGCGTTGGAGTCCTCCGGCCCGATAGAACGCTCAGGCCATTTCTCATTTGTTCCTGACTAACTGGCCACCCTCGGGGCAGAATCAAACAAAAACAGACATTCAGACAAATGTTAATGAAGACGACAAAATAGGTCGTATTTTGGAAACAAAGTACACAAAAATGTCACAAAATCATCAAAGAAGTGGAGAAAAAAACTCAGCAACGGCAAATAAAAAAGACGTGGACAACAAGCGCAAAGGCACCATCATCCAATATGTGGCAGGAGCCTCAGAGAAACTTGGGAACATTTTTCTCCAAACGCAACATCCCCGTAAACTTTAACCCAACAACACCCTCAGACAGAAACTGGTCCATCCTAAAGACAAAACACCCAAACAGAAGGTCGGTGGTGTCGTTTATGCAGTCCAGTGTGGTGAGGACTGTCCAGATCTTTACATCGGGGAAACTAAACAACAGTTACACAAGAACATGGCACAACACACGAGAGCCACGTCTTCAGGTCAAGACTCTGCAGTCCACCTTCACCTGAAGGACAAGGGACACACCTTTGAAAATGCTAAAGTCCACATTCTGGACAGAGAAGATGGATGGTTTGAGAGAGGAGTAAAAGAAGCTATCTATGTCAAACAGGAAAAACCTACATTAAACAGAGGGGGGCTTCAGGTTTCGTCCATCCATAGCCTGCAGTGCTGCTCCAAACCAGATTCCACAACAGTTTCCGTCTAGGTCACGCCCTCTTTCATCGAATCAAAACAACCAGTCCAGCACAATAGGGCCTAACGACATTGATGACTTGCAAGGGGTAAGCGGGAGGGATATTCATAGGTAGTGTTGGGAGTAACATGTTACAAAAGTAACTAGTTACTGTAATGCATAGTTTTTTCCTTTAATGTAAGTAAATTAACCCTTTGATGCATGAATTATGAATTCTTCAACCACTGCTGGTGGTGGTCGGAGGGACCGGTGGCGCCTGTGCTCGGCAGCCTCGCCTCTGTCAGCGCGCCCCAGGGCAGCTGTGGCTACATTGTAGCTCATCACCATCAGTGTGTGAATGTGTGTGTGAATTGATGAATGATACACTGTAGTGTAAAGCGCTTTGGCGTCCTTACTCTGAGAGGCGCTATACAAGTGCGGGTCATTTATCATTATCATCATGATTTTTAAACAATTTTTTTCATTCATCTTTATGTGTGAATGAAACAAATTTCGACAAAGATTTTTTTTAACAATTAATAATTTACAAATTATTTATTACATCCAATAACACACACACTCGGTGGACAGCGTGCATTCTGAGCATGAAATATGTTGGCTTGCCTTACTGAAGTCCAAATGGAGGGGCTCAAATGCAATAAAGTCTTCAACAGCTGTGCTTAATAGCAAAAATAAATAACAATTTTGAGTACCTGTCCACTGTAGTGACCATTATGCATCAAAGGGTTAATACTTGTGTAGCACTCATCAAAGACAGAAAATCTTCACATAGAACAAAACAAAGCATAAACGTCATAAAATCATAATGAGCTTTAAACAGAAATAAATTAAAATCAGAACAACTAAGTCATACAATTATAAAATACCATAGAAAAATGAAAGATTATTACAAATTTGAGTAAAAAAATAAGATAATCAAATATTTCGGTAAAAGCAGCTTTAAATAAAAGGGTCTTCAGCTGTTTTTTTAAAGTGTCCAGACTGTCAATACTAAGGATAAGGAAGATCATTCCAAATTCAGGGTGCTGCAGTCTGGAAGGTTCTTTCAACTGAAATTTGTAAAGCGAGTTAGCGCAGTGGTCCACTCAAGTTTTTGTCATTTGAGGTTAATAAGCAAAGTCAACTCAAGTCCTAATTGCCATATGAACGCCTTGCAATAGTGATTCATGCTTTAATAACCTCCAGGATCTGCCAAAACGTAGATATTTTTCTACGTTTTGGCCTGTCATCCACATGAAAACGGATCTTTTTAAAAACTCCGGCCAAAGTGAAGATCTGCGTTTTCTCCGTTTTGGGTGTCTGCGTGTGGACGGACAAAACCGGAGTTTTAAGGTCCGCAACGTCACTTTCCGCGACAAAGAAATGCTGACATCACGTGTGCGACCTGTGTTTACACTAGCCGACAGCATGGATGCCCTCAGAGCTGCGCTCGCTTTATCAATTGTCCAAGCGCTTTTTGCTTGTTTGTTTTTGCAAGAGGAATTACTGCTCCTTGCAGAAGACCACAGACGAAGGACGAGGTTAAG